GGAGGGTGGGGTGGGGTGGGGTTGGGGGGGTGAGGACCTTCAGACGCCAAATTGGGGGTTGCCCCCCATCAAGACGCGGGGTGGGGGGCAGGGGAAAAGCTTTGGTGGCCCCCCATAACCCACGTGGTTTCAGAAGAACCTCCCGATCCCCCCCCAACCAACCAACCAACCAAAAAATAACGACGTTTTGAACCAAATCAAGGGGGTTTCCACCAAAATTTCCAGCCCCCGACCCATTTTTGGACCTTTTTTGAGCTCAATTTGTCCGTTTTCATCACAATTTCTGGATTTTAGCCCCCAAAAAGCCACCGCTGGCCTGGGACAGGGCCTTCTTCTCCAGCGTCATCAGGGGAGGGTTGAAGGTGGTGGATCTTGGGATCCATCTCAACCTCTGGTGGTTCCATCAACCCCCTCCATCTCCACATCCTTCCACCATTGACCATCCCAACCCTCTGGTGGCTCCACCAACCCCTTCCATCTCCACATCCTTCCACCATTGACCATCCCAACCCTCTGGTGGTTCCATCAACCCCCTCCATCTCCACATCCTTCCACCATTGACCATCCCAACCCTCTGGTGGTTCCATCAACCCCTTCCATCTCCACATCCTTCCTCCATCCAACCATTCATCATCCATCCAACCTTCTCAACCCTCTGGTGGCTCCATCAACCCCCTCCATCTCCACATCCTTCCATCCTTGACCATCCCAACCTTCTGGCGGGTCCACCAACCCCTTCCATCTCCACATCCTTCCACCGCCATCCCACCACCCAACCAACCAACCAACCAACCAACGGATTCTATCTCCTCCCATGGAGGCCCCCACCACCCGGCCACCTCTCCAAGACCTCCTGGAGACCCTCCTCCAACTTCACCTCTGCAGAAGGTGCTGATGTTGTGGACCACGGCTTTGTCCAGGCCAGGGTGGGTGACCTTGCAGGAGAACTCGGCCCCGTTGTCCCAGCTCTGCCGGCTGACGTTGACCTGACTGGTCATGATGGCCTTCTCACCAGAGCACTTGTCACAGGTGGTGACCGCCGGCATGAGGGGCTTCTCCACGTGGTTGACCATCCACGTGATGGTGGCTTCTCCGGCCTTGGGGCCCTCCACGACGCACATCAGAAGAACCTGCTGCGCCAACTGGTACTTGTTGGGGTCACCCAAGAGCTTGACGTCCGGGGGAGGTGGACAAACATCTGCAGAAGATCCAGGAGAAGAGGTGACCGAGGTGTCACGTAAAGTTGGGGGTCAGGAGAAGCCATCCAGGTGGCCACCAAGATGTCAGGGGAGGCCAGGAGCAACCCCAACCCATCTTGGTGGCCACCAAGACATCATGAGAGTCCTGGATCAACATTAACCCATCGAGGTGGCCTCCTGGGACCAACCCCAACCCTTTGAGGTGGCCCCCAAGACGTCATGTGAGTCCTGATATCAAGGTGGCCACCTGGGACCAACCCCAAGCCATCCTGGTGGCCACCAAGACATCACACAAGTCCTGGATCAACATTAACCCATCGAGGTGGCCACCTGGGACCAACCCCAACCCATTGAGGTGGCCACCAGGACGTCATGCGAGTCCTGGACCAATCCCAACCCATCTTGGTGGCCACCAAGACATCACACAAGGCGGGCATCAACCCCAACCCATCGAGGTGGCCACCTGGGACCAACCCCAACCCATCGAGGTGGCCACCTGGGACCAACCCCAACCCATTGAGGTGGCCACCAGGACGTCATGCGAGTCCTGGCCCAACCCCAACCCAACCTGATGGCCACCAAGAGGTCCCACGAGCCCCAGGGGCAACTTACCGTTGCCTTCGATGGTCTTGGTGGTGGTCCCCGTGGAGCTGTGGGCCACCTTGCACTGGAATTCGTTGTCCACCTGGTCGGCCGGGACGGTGAACTGGGAGATGAGGTTGTAGTAGCCTCCAGCAACTGGGAGAACTGGGAAGGTGGCCTGCTGCCCGGAGACGGGGCTGGTCCAGGAGATGGTGGCCGGTTCGGGGAAGAAGTCGGCGGCCAAACAGGCCACGCTGACCGTGGGGTCCTCGCAGTCGCAGGGCACCAAGGGGTAGACCTTGGGGGCGGTGGCTTTGGCTACGAAGGAGAAGACCATCAGTGAGAGCTTGGCTACCAGAATCCAACCCTGGGCTACCTTAGAAGGGCTTAAGGCTGAGCTTGGCTACCAAAACCCAGCCCTGGGCTACTCTAGAAGGGCTTAAACCCAAGCTTGGCTACTAAAACTCAAGGTTGGGCTACCTTAAAATGGATTAAGCCCAAGCTTGGCTACCAAAATCCTACCCTGGGCTACCTTAGAAGGGCTTAAACCTGAGCTTGGCTACTAAAAACAAGCCTGGGCTACCTTAGAAGGGCTTAAATCTGAGCTTGGCTACTAAAACTCAAGGCTGGGCTACCTTAGAAGGGCTTAAACCCGAGCTTGGCTACCAAAACTCAAGGCTGGGCTACCTTAGAAGGGCTTAAGGCTGAGCTTGGCTACCAAAACCCAGCCCTGGGCTACTCTAGAAGGGCTTAAGGCTGAGTTTGGCTACTAAAAACAAGCCTGGGCTACCTTAGAAGGGCTTAAAGCTGAGCTTGGCTACTAAAACTCAAGGCTGGGCTACCTTAAAATGGATTAAACCCAAGCTTGGCTACCAGAATCCAACGCTGGGCTACTCTAGAAAGGCTTAAACCCAAGCTTGGCTACTAAAAGTCAAGGCTGGGCTACCTTAGAAGGACTTAAGGCTGAGCTTGGCTACCAGAATCCAACGCTGGGCTACTCTAGAAAGGCTTAAACCCAAGCTTGGCTACTAAAAGTCAAGGCTGGGCTACCTTAGAAGGACTTAAGGCTGAGCTTGGCTACCAGAATCCAACGCTGGGCTACTCTAGAAAGGCTTAAACCCAAGCTTGGCTACTAAAAGTCAAGGCTGGGCTACCTTAGAAGGACTTAAGGCTGAGCTTGGCTACCAGAATCCAACGCTGGGCTACTCTAGAAAGGCTTAAACCCAAGCTTGGCTACTAAAAGTCAAGGCTGGGCTACCTTAGAAGGACTTAAGGCTGAGCTTGGCTACCAGAATCCAACGCTGGGCTACTCTAGAAAGGCTTAAACCCAAGCTTGGCTACTAAAAGTCAAGGCTGGGCTACCTTAGAAGGACTTAAGGCTGAGCTTGGCTACCAGAATCCAACGCTGGGCTACTCTAGAAAGGCTTAAACCCAAGCTTGGCTACTAAAAGTCAAGGCTGGGCTACCTTAGAAGGACTTAAGGCTGAGCTTGGCTACCAGAATCCAATGCTGGGCTACCTTAGAAGGGCTTAAGGCTGGTGGCCTCCCCCCCCAGCTCCGTGGCCACCTGGTAGCCCAGGTTGCCCCAAGGGGGGAGGAAGTGGCCCCGACATGAAATCGGTGGCCCCCGAGAAGGAGGAAGTTGCCGTGGGGCTCGAAAATTTCCTTTTTCACCCCAAAAACTGAGCTCCCCCCCCTCAAGGCTGGGCTACCTCAGAGGGGCTTAAACCTGAGCTTGGCTACCAAACCCCAATGCTTGGCTACCTTAGAAGGGCTTAAAGATGAATTTGGCTACCAGAGCCCAATGCTTGGCTACCAAAGAAGAGCTTAAGGCTGAGCTTGGCTACTAAAACCCAAGGCTGGGCTACCTCAGAAGGGCTTCAAGGGGAATTTGGCTACTAAAATCTGATGCTTGGCTACCCTAGAAGAGCTTAAACTCGAGCTTGGCTACTAAAACTCAAGGCTGGGCTACCTCAGAAGGGCTTCAAGGGGAATTTGGCTACTAAAATCTGATGCTTGGCTACCCTAGAAGAGCTTAAACTCGAGCTTGGCTACTGAAACCCAAGGTTGGCTACCAAAGAAGAGCTTAAGGCTGAGCTTGGCTACTAAAACCCAAGGCTGGGCTACCTCAGAAGGGCTTCAAGGGGAATTTGGCTACTAAAATCTGATGCTTGGCTACCCTAGAAGAGCTTAAACTCGAGCTTGGCTACTAAAACTCAAGGCTGGGCTACCTCAGAAGGGCTTAAAGGACAATTTGGCTACTGAAACCCAAGGCTTGGCTACCTCAGAAGGGCTTCAAGGTGAATTTGGCTACTAAAATCTGATGCTTGGCTACCCTAGAAGAGCTTAAACTCGAGCTTGGCTACT